AAAAAAAAAAAAAAAAAAAAAAAAAAACACGATGATAGGAGATAATAATAGGAGACGAAGATTGACATTTTAGAGAAAAAATAAACGAAATAGACTGGGAGGAAGAAGATAAATACTGAAAGAAAAAAATTGTAAATATGAAATAGAAATAAAAAATGTAATAGAGACATATAAAATTGAAAAATAAAAGGACGATTTGTATATACGCAAATAAAGAAAATGGATTAATAATAGCTTGTTTGTATACAAAATTTATACTCAAAATATAACTCAACTTTAACTCAACTTGAATATCTTCAATATGATTCTAATATCTTCAACTAGTACAATACCCTTGTATTACACGGGTGCTTGTTAAAAAATTATTTTGAAATTTTAAAATTAATGAGAAAAATTATTTTAAATTGTATTTACTTTTTTACAAAAATTATATATTATTATATAGTTTAGAATGACTTTGTTACTTGTGACTTACATGTGTTATATTATAGTAATTTTTATAACTTATATCTTATAACTACTTGAAATATAAATATATTGATTGATAATAATTTTATTTTTGTAATTAATATTTAAAAATAATTTTATTAATGTTATAAAGATTAATATAATTGATGTTATACATAATATGTATGTTAAATGAAGCACATCAAGAGATGATTAATTTGATAAATTATATATGTAAAACTAATAAAAAATACAAAAGTTATTAACTTTTAAAATACATTTACAAATCAATGTTACAATAGTAACTGATATCAAAATACAATTAATACATGTAACATGCATAAATAATCAACATATTTATGGATAATCTAGACCTAATTATTTTTTAATTGAAATTAACTGTAATCTACTCAAGCCTAATAATGAAGGATGTAAATTTGCCACATAGAATCCCGAAACATGCGAATCTGCCATTTACGCTCAAATTATATAAATAAGGAATAATAATAATAATAATAATAATAATAATAATAATAATAATAATAATAATAATAATAATAATAATAATTATGTAAGAAACTGGGGGAAAACGGTGCGAGCCCACTAACATGAAGCGCACCAAAGCGGAGAAAATCCAAATGAAGCCCAATGGGATTCCGTCCCAAAACCAATTGGTGGAAGGAGGAGTAGCCCATTAGACTTATAAGGTGGGTCTATTTTCCATGTACAATAGATGTGTGACAACTCACAAATGATATTCTAACAAATTAAGTCAATGCCAGAAGTCGATCGTATTTGTCTAGAAAAACCCCCGCGAGCTCGGCTTCATCACCTTATTTGATAAGTAGCATTTGAGAGCTGGATTTCGTTATTGATTTTTTTTTTTTTTTTACTCAACATCAGGAATATATAGGACGAAATATACAAATGTACAATGTGTTAGCCAACTGGCTAAATACAAGGTAAAACCCCGAAGAACCGAACCATCTATGACCTAGATACAAATTAAGAAAGTTATTTCAATCAACTATTTAGTATTTACTAAGCAATTAAGAAACTTATGGATTAGATGATTGTAAAATTTAATATTTTTTGGTATAACAATATCAATTAGGTAATTATTACTTACCAAATATCTATACTTATATTAAAAGCCATACTATTTACCAAAAATAGTAGCAAGAAAAGTCAACTCACATTTAATGCATACTTTATTTAGAAATTTTTTACTATATGCATTAATTGCTTGCATATATACATTTCCTATTCAAATATGATCAAAAAGATTCTTTCCTTAAATAATTTTATTAACTTCTGCAATGATTGTACTGATATATATTATAATTCATATTTGTCGATAGTATTTTTTAATTTTTATTTGAGTATATAAAAAACAAATATTTTTTTAAATTAATATTTTATTTGTCATTGAAGGGATAATGATCACATCATTAAATGATATTACTGATGGCTAGATAATAAATTAAAATACATTAATTATTCTTTAAAATTTTGGCATGTTATTTATTTTGTATCTATACTTATTATATAAAGTATCCTATTTATCAAATTTAGTAGATTGAAAAGTCAATGTAATTAATGCATTTCTATTTCTATCCAAAATTTTATTTAATTATTTTATTTATTTGTCTTATATCCCATAAAATCAGTTTAAGAAAAAAAATCTAATAACATCTGACAAGTCAAAAAAAATAGATGTAAAATCTTTATTAAAATAAAATGACTTTATTTATTTGTCTTATTCCATATAACATTGATTTTTGTCAAAATAAATCTCATAAAATCAGTGAAGTCAAAATTTGTACGTAAAGTCTATCTATCCAAAAAAAGTCAAATTCAAAATTCTTTATCTAATTCCTTCTTTTTCTTATCTAATTCATTTTTTTCTTTATCTAATTTTTTTATTAGTATCCAATTGTATGAAATCTGTTCTGATTTTGTTCAATCCTCTAATTGTATTTGTATTATATTCCATAAAATTGGTTTAACAAAAAAAATCCCATAACATCCGATAAGTAAAAAAACAAAGTACGTAAAATCTTTACTAAAATAAAAAGGTTTTATTTATTATCTAATTTATGGAAATATGTTCTGCTTTTATGGTACGTACTACAAATTCTGCACCCGTGTTCATGAGCTACTTAACGGGCAAACTCTGTGGAAATGACTCATTTAGTGCTTCTGTCATGTGATACGGTATGTATTTTTATTACACATACTAGAAAATTGTGCACCCTGTGCATCGCACGGGCTCTGTACTAATAAATGACCTTAAAATTGTGCACCCCGTGCATCACCCGTGTTCACATTTTGGCTTATTACAGGTCACGTACTATATATATCCCGTACATTTTTTTATTCATTTATATAATTATAAGAATTGATAAATAGCCTTAAAATTGTGCACCCCGTGCATCGCACGGGCTCTGTA